TGTCCGGCCTAAGTTCTGCGTGTGGACAGTCATCGCGTGGGCATAACCGCCATGAAGGCATATGACCTCGAAGGCAGTCATCTGTTAAAAAAGGAATCATTGTGACAGTCGACGGCAGGCACGACGCCTCAGGAGAGCCTGCAAGGTTGCTGGCCTTTGGTCATGCGACACTCATAGCAGTTCTAACCACCGGTTTACGCTGATATCATCATCATCATCATCATCATCATCATCATCATCATCATCATCATCATCTCATCATCATCATCATCATCATCATCATCATCATCATCATCATCATCATCTTTCATCATCATCATCATCATCATCATCATCATCATCATCATCATCATCATCATCATCATCACCATCATCAACATCATCATCATCATCATCATCATCATCATCATCATCATCGGTCCTTCCTACCTTTTCCTTCTCGCATGCATCAGTGAACTGTCTGACCTAGTACATCATCATCATCATCATATTATTATTATTATTATTATTATTATTATTATTATGTCCTCCTCATCATCATCATCATCATCATCATCATACTCATCATCATTATCATCAGGATTGCTTCCGAAACGTTGGCCTAAATACAATTCAATCCGTCAAGTCATTAACTCTTCTCCCTCTAGTTTTGGAGGATGACGTTAATGATGATCCCCCATATATCATCCATGTAGATAGAACCATTGAAACCTTATTGAAAGATAAGTATTAGCAAAGCATATCTGCGTTAAAAAGCGATGAGCGCACACGATATTATCCTTTGATATCTACGAAATAGCTGGTCATCAAGTGGAGTTTCATCAAGCCTTCTTTTAAAGGTCTAAACACTTTCAGCAAGAACAACCAACTTATGGAGTTTGTTTCATTCCTGAATACCCTGATGGAAGAAAAACTTGGCTCACAGTTCAACTTTCATGTAATGTACCTTTAGTTTCTCTTAATGACCTCTGAGATTGGTTCTTTTTGCCAATTCAAAAAAATCAGCCATCTGGTCTGGCGTGCTTGTAGAGCAGGATTATAACACCCCTAAGAAAGAGGAAAACGTTTAGTCGACCTTCCAAAGATAGACAGTCCAATCGCTGATTAGGTTGTTTATCCATTGTTGCCATACCTCTAGCAGTGTAATGTTATTTCATGCAGGATGCTCCTCATGAATGCAATATTCGAACAGTGAATGGACCAACTTTTACAAATACTCTATCTGCTTGACCGCAGGCTTGCTTCTGGCGATAACTCACGTTGTGCCATAGGACGCATGCCAAATTTAGTACACCGATAACTTGCCGACATCTGGTTCACGATCGTTACCGATGACCATTAAAACATAGGGCTTATGCGGTGGGGTTTG